TCAGTCATTCAAACGCTGTTACTCTCATAGGCCGTGCAAACAGGTACGACAAATGCCTTGCATGGCAGTGATAGTTCGGCATCGGAAACAACTCCCGCTGTGTGGTTGAAATACTTCTTCATCTAATGCATAAATTTTACCATTTTCATTCAATACGGCAACATTTGGAGTGCAGAGCTAAAAACAGCTGCAGTTCCTTTGCAAGGGCGTGGTGAGAAGAGGGGGTTTCACTTGAAGATGACATGTCTTTTGGAGGAATGGAGGGGAGATCAGTCGTCTCTTACAAACTTCGAAGGGGGGGGAGGGTCTAAAGAAAATTGACTGCCAGTGAAGTGGGGACCATAAGAATATCACAGAGCTTTATGAGGATCAGCATTTAAAAAAGAGCCAAAACAGTTCAGCTGGGTTGCCTGTGGTTCGGCCTACAGTCGTTGTCGCGAAATGCCTTCTGGGTCAACTCCGCCATCTTTAAAATTAGCAGCAACGCAGCCTTGAAATTCTACATAATACATCTACAATAATCTTTACAACTCATCCTTCCGCCGAAAATGGTTAAGATGAGGCCAGAAACGAAGAAGAGGGTCCAGAATGTCATAAAATTTAGCAAGACAGCATTTCATTGGGGTTTTATCCCGCTGATTATATATCTTGGTACGTTAACTCACGTGTTTGCAGCATAGCTCGTATTCGGTAATATTTCCTGCTACTGAATTGCACTAAATGAACTTTGAAAAACTAAAGGATACTAAGGTACTTACTAGTGCACGGTCTGGCCTTTTTTTCAGGACTAAAGCAAGGTGGAGAGCCTGGGATGCCGGAGCCAACTTTGTTAAGGTAAACCACTTTGTGGCGATCATCAACCTCGTGTAAGAACACTCCAATTTATAGGGTCAGTGGTAACTTGTTTGTGTGGCTTCCGAGAATAATTTCTGCTCTCTTTTCCTCATTTTTCGAGTTGATTTTCTCGTACGTCACCCGATTTTGTTGTCCACAAACAGTAATTGAAGTAAGTCATATGATATATGAAGTTATATGATTTAAAGAACATATCTTATTATTCGTTTGACCGATAGTTTACAAAGCTCCATATTTGGCTACGTTTTGCCCCACGCTTTTTCTTATGGACTAATTTCCTTCAGCATAATGAATATTAGGCTAGAATTTGACAAGTTTGTAAGGATTCCATGGGTGTGTAACTAAATTATTGATCGACCTTATTTTAGCCATTACAGAATATTTATTTAACAAATAGATTCCACGTTTTTGTGCGTCTGTTCCGGAACAGAACACAAATGACATCAGAGTGTGGTAAGAACAATAAAGAGGTGCAGCCGGATCTGTCATTGCTGTTCTTATCAGATTTTGAGATCATCTGTGATCTACTTGTCAGCAGACCCATAACAGGGAATCTTTTTGTTTTAGACATAATGAATAAACTAAACCTGTTCATGGAAATGCCATCTGTGGGTGTGTCTTCTAGTAGATCATAGGTAAAAACCAATCAAAATGCATATATGACTTATTGTATTCAGGTCAACAGTTCGCAGGCACAAAGTATTTAAAAGTATAGAAAAAAAAGTGGATATAAATTTACTTTTTTGTTTTCCATTGTCAGCCTTCTTTGGGCATAAATCAAGTCAACCTTGTGAAGTTAATGACAGACAAGAACAAGACCCATGGGTTGACTAAGCTGATGCAATACATGGATTTTAACAATTAATATTTCAAGCTGATGACAAAACAGGATGCAAAAGTGTATTATATTTCTTAGACGAATCAACACTGAAAAAAATGTATGGTTTAAAAATAAATGTACAAATGATGTTGAGGTTGTTTAAAATCTTTTAGCTATTTTGGAAAATGAGCCTGCTCTGAAATTTTTTCCCCTAGTATTTTGATATCCCTTTTGATCCCTTTTTGAGCTCAGAGGGGAGGGTTGGGCTCATAAGACTCAGTGTTCAATTTGGTTCCCTTTCCTTACTCATTTATTACTGGAGGCTGAAGTTCAACAAAGTCATGAACCCTGATACAAGCACTCAGTTTTTGGGGATTGGGGATGAAGCTGTGCAAGCAATGGGAAAAATGTGCAAACTATGAAGAAAAGAAAAGATCAGTTCATCTCAGTGATCTTCATCATTTTTGTAATGTTGTAAATATCGTGAGCCAGATAATTAGATAAACCAGGCAATGGCACTGAGACATGTCTTTTTCACATAGTACTTACAAATGATTGTTTGGAATTTTTGTCAGTAATCAGGGGTTTCGTTAAGGGCTGACACCATTGTATTGACAGTGAGGTTATCGTTTTAGCATTTGAAGCCAAACTTTTCTGACCAAAAAGGTTAAGTGAGGTCCAGGAATGAGAATTTTTTAGCTACCGACTGCCGTTCGCGTCTCAAGAACACTTGTGCTTGAGCTCTCTATTAACTCTTTACACCCTAGCATAAGTATTCATATCAGTGTGAGATCAATCTTTGAAGAAATTCTTCACACTACTCCTACAGTTCCACTCCACACTTACTCATATTCTCCACACTGCCTGTGGTAATGATGAGGAGAATTTGTTTGACAATCAGGAGCTTGTAGAATTGCTGATCACCTCTTGCATTCTCATTATCTTTACATTTGATTCAGGGATTTTATGAAAGGAGAAATTAGAAGCCAGTCACATTTAGGGTTGAAAGGTAATTTGCAACTAGTTGCTTCAAATTTCCATGTTTGTTCAGAGAATTTTGCCTTTGGTCTATATTCCTCTTTCATCTCCAGAAGTTCCTACTCAACAATTGATCCATTAAACACTCAAAAATAGAAAAAAATTTTTTAGTACATGCTGGAAATGAGAGAGTTTACAACTTTTACTCTTAAGAGTGACTAGCATCTAATTTTCTCCTTGCAATATCACCCCTAAATCCCACATTAAGATCAGGAGAATCAAGGAAATGATCACCAAATGAAAAAGCTCTTGATTGTGAAACAAATTCTCTTCATCAGCACCCTAGGAAATGTATAGAGAACAGTATGGAGAATATGCATACTGATGTTAGGGAGTAAAGGGTTAAGTATTTTCAGCAACAACTGAACCAAAGAACATTCATTATGTCTGATTACAACTACAGAGGTAAGAATTACCCAAATGCATTGGTATTTCCACTCTGCAAGTTCATATCCCTCCCTCAACCAATTCCACCGTATCATCAGCACACACATTCTCCATACTGTCCTCCATACATTTCCTTAAGTGTAGACGAAGAGAATTTGTTTAAAGTCAAGGGCTTCTTTAGGGTCAGGGCTAGGCTCAATTTCCGCTGCTTTCTTAGGTCCGGTCTTTACTGTTCCTCCCCAAGAAGAGACAGAGGAGCTTCAGGGAGGAGCTTTGCGGAGGAGCACAGGCGCCAGTTCCCGAACAGCAACTGGTAATTGAGCTTAGTTCAGGGTTTGACACTAAATTTTCAACTTCTAACCAAGTAGTTAGTGACAACTCAGATGTTAAAACAGTTTCAGTTTGTTTATTAGCCAAAGTGGCTAATGGAAATAAAAAACCATTGGCCAAAACTGAACTTCTACTAGTCTGTGGCTAGTTGGCTAACGTAATTGTCGAGCCCTGTAGTTTATCATTCTCTCTTCTCTGGTGACCTTAAGAATTTATGCAAGGGTGAAATTATAAAGAGAAATTAGATGTCAGTCACTCTTAAGCATCAGAGTTCAAACAGGTTTTGAAAAATGGAAAGTTGAAACCTTTTTCCACTCCCAAGTTAACCATATCATTTTAACATTGAAAGGTTGGATCTTTCTAATTTACTGAGAACAAAACAACACGTTAAGATCCATGAGAAAAAGAAATGTTTTATTCATAAGAACTAGCACAAATCTAACAAGTTGTATTTTGTACATTAAAGCTACACTGACATTAAATGAGTTATTCATGGTAACTTCTACTTTGTATGCCATTTTAGCCCAATCAATCCCTAACAGCTGACTAGCTTTGCAATTCCCCCTTCTTTCTCAACACAATTTCCATCACACTCACAAGAATTTGGCTTTCCCTGGATCATTACCGAGACATTCTCAAGTCTAAGAGGATGCTCTTCAGAATGGATCTTACAAAGGAAAGCTTCCAACTGATTTGATTTCAACATCACAACATTGCAAAAGATATTTCTTTCACCCTGTAACCCCTTCCATCTGATTGTTAACTCTCCCCTCTGGCTGCTATGCATATCCTTCTAAATAAGTTAGAAAATATTAGGTGTTGGATCAAGATGACAACCTCTACCTGATAAGTTTGAGTATTCTCATTGTCTGTTTGCTGGAAAATGTCTGGATTTTATAGGGAGAAGTTACCTGTTGATCACTTCTGGAGACTAAAGGATTAACATGGAATTTCTTGTTTTATTTGTACATTGCACAGCACACAGCATTGGCTCATAAGATAAACAAATATTTACTTTCAAAGTAATTACATTATTTAAACAGTTCCTAGAGATGTAACAAGTAGAATAAATGGTGGTTATTCTGAACATAATCAAAACTGTAAAAACAAATTCCTGACGATGATTGGTTTTCACTAGCCAGATTTAGGCACTACAAGTACAGTGTAAGTATCATGCCTATGTAAGTGGACAGTGAGTGTATCATGCCTCTAAAAGCGGTCAGTACATGTCATGTGCGCTCTGTTGTTGCACATTTTGCAGAGTTAATTGTTTGATTTTTTTTTTTTAAATCAAAACATATAACAATGGTTAATCTGTTTCTAAAATTTTGTCACAGATTTGACTAAGAAGTAAAAGGACAGACTCCTACTTCCCACTCATCCAATGTTGTAACTCACTGGTATGATTAGAGTCTGAATTGGACTCCACTTAGTCCTGGCAGGGCTTGACACTAACTTTTCAACTTACTAGCCAAGTGGCTAGTGACATCTTAGATGTTTTTAGATGTTATGACAATTTCAGTCTGTTTACTAGTGAAACTGGCTAGTGGAAATTGAAAACCACTAACCAAAACTGAATTTCTACTAGTTTGTGGCTGGTGGGCTACCGTTAGTGTCGAGCCCTGATCATCATATTTTCAATTAACAGGAACTATTGTACAGGGTTTAGGCTCTTATAAAATCATAAAACTCCATGACATTTCTTTGACCTTTTCCTCATTGCTGTTTACTGTTATCTACTTGGACAATGATACTGTGGAGTTCTGTGACATTCAAAGGTATCATTGATGTTACAAACCCTCACCTAGCTGTTGTCATGTTGTTGTTAAAAAATATCAAAACACAAACAAAAGAAGTTGAGAGAACATCAAGGTAAACAAACTTGTGCCTTGTGTACCCTTCTGAATTGGCCTAAAAACCTTTCCTTGCGATTTGTATAGTGCTGTCACAGATAAGGAAGAACAATAATATGCCTATACAGCAACTGATTTAAGACAGTTTATGTTATAATCAAGTTGCAAAATAAAAAGATGATAGGTTAAAAACTCCCTCAACTGTCTCCATTTTCCTCGTTATCATTTGTTTGGGTCCATGTTACCCTGTCTTCATAAAACTTAATAACTATCTGTGGCCATCTTTTATTTGCAATAGTGGATGGTATCAAATCTGCTCTGTCAGAGTCTTTCCTGAAAAAACAAATGAGAAAACAAAGGGAGTAAGAAAGCAAAATTTCATGTACACAAGGTAGCCCATTCAGCTCCAAGGCTGGTCTCCATAGGGGCCTTGTACCTTAAAAAATTTATTTGCATTAAGAATTTTCACAAACTATCACATTTTCATAAACTATCATGAAGTCCATGTCTACCATCATTGTGTGCTTTTTGGTGGTATTAATTTGTACAATGGCCATCAAGAAGAGATTAAATTAAGCAAATATAAGCATAAATTTGCATTAGCAGAGAAGGTTTTGTCAAAGCCATTTCTTTCCTCCCTGAAAGAAACCATTTCGATCATTGGCTCTTCACGTATTTGTTTTTGTTGTGAGACAAATAGACTGCTTTTGATGAGTTACTTGATCATTTCCAGAAATGCGGGGACATGCAACTGATCAGACAGTGTTTTATCTTCTTGTCTTTCCTCATCCTCTTTCCCCACTGCCTATTCTAACTCTGAATCAAACATGGCTGTTTGAACAAAGGATTACAAACTTGTAACATTAATTTAACCCAATAACAGGCCTCCATGTACCATCTCAATTCACCCTCAACTTACCACTTTATGAGGAAATGAACTTTCCCTTCCACATCTGTGGCTCCAAGAATATCAGAAGCTTCCCATCCTTCAGCAAGGGGATCAAGATCATCTTCTCTTCCAGTCTCCTCTTCAGTGGCATCATTTGACTCACTTGCTGGCAGGCACGATCTTTCCTTCTTGCCACCAACTGCTGTTTCTGACAGTTTTTGTCTCTTGGTTTTACCTTCAATCTTAATGTCACTGAAAGAGAAGTTTGAGTGAGAAGCATGTTAATTTTAAAAAAATTCTAGAAAAAGTTTCTACTCAGCAAAAAAAAAAAAAAAAGCATCTTCCTTAACCCTAACCCTAACTTTTTCACCTGATTTTACATTAAATATACCTATTTGATTGCTTAATCCCGAAAAATGGATTTTTCCGAAAAAACTTGGTTCTTTGCGAACCCATTGATGGCCGCAGCTTTTGTGAAAAACTGTATTTTGAAGCTAGTCGAGCAGATTTCGGGTCACTTTTGTGGTTTTAAAAGCTCAAACTTAACAATAACCCATTGACAGCTCGTACACTCAATGGGCTTTCCATCCAAATGCAAAATGGCGGCCTGAAAATCTCGGGCACGCGCAGAAAGTAAAATTTCATTTTTGGGTTGAAAAGTAATGCCCCATTTACAACTTTTACTTTTTTCTCTTTCTCCTGCCCTTTTTTTCCCCTCTCCTTGCCTGAAGTTTCTCCTCACTTGCTGGAAATTTAGTAGGCTTCATTTTGGTGTAGAGATTTTTTAGGAAACTACTCATTATTTTCAAACCACATGCTCAGAAAGGTAGGTGGGTAATGGAACAAGATTTTCATGTAGATTTTCAGGTTAAAGTTACATGGTTTTTTGGCTATTTCTCCAATCTCCTTCAATCAGTTGCGCTCATTCTGGTATCGTTTGTAAGATATTTTCAACCTGTTCAAGTATGTGCTCAAAGTTGTGCTCCAGGGTTAAAAGTGATGACATCACAAGGCGTAGAAAGGGTGTGGGTGCACATATGCGCATACGGACGCACTGGCCGTCAATAGGTTAAGCATGGGTGCATAGGTGGGTGTATGTGTTTAGGGAGAGGGGGTTCGAAGGGCTGACCTCTTCCCTTCCACCTCTGATGTGTCTTGATGCTTAAATGCAGACTTGTATGCCAAATATGCGGAAAGTGTACCATATAACCCCATACATTAATTATGCATTCCACTTCTTTGTCTTTCATGGAAAAACTTTAAAAACAAAGTCTACTAGTCGGACTTAATAATTAATGTCTGGGGTTATATGGTACTCTTGCCAAATATGCATATCAATGTTATGGTCTAAAGGGTTAACTGTACAAATTGCGAAGAAGAAACTACAATATGTCAAGATGTAAAAAATAGTGAAAAACAAAAGCTTCAGGAAAATCAGTTAATGCTCAGCCAATACGATGAGAAGTAGTAACAAGGACCTGTGCATACATGAGGCCTATTTTCTTCAATAAATAAAGCACTATATTTCATGTTTGCGGGTAAAATAATGACATTGGTGCCAAGTCTGACCCAAATAGGAAGATGGATACATAAGTTGCACCAAGACTAAACTGGAAACATCTTGGGCGATCAATAATAATATATCTCTACGCCACAAGTTAAGCTGTACCAATGTGACGTAATACCATGTAACTAAGTGCACACGATGCATCAAAGGTTTGGAGCATCAATCGCACTAACAGATTACAAATCATTACGATCAATTCAATTTTCCGTTTGTATCAATTGTTTTCAACGATTAATGCAGCATAACTGCGTAAGACCCACGATATGCAAAGAGATATCAATAGGTACTGTGTTCGTTTTTAGAGGAATCAATAATGACTTTAGAAAATTAAACCTTCAAATGCAAGATCACAGATAAATGGTCACACAGGCAAACTGAGTGACCGGACCACGAAAATATTAAAAAACGAATTTTAAAAACCTGGGTTCTTTCCTCTTCTCTTTTTTCTCCTTTTTTACTGCTGCCTCATGCCTTTCCCGTGCCCTATTCTTTTCGTACTCTTGAAGTAACTCTGAGCAGTCTAAACTGTCTTCGTGTTCCCAGGTATTTTCACTGGAAGGATATCCCTTCCATTTCAAAAGGTATTCAACCTTTCCCTTATGTATGCGCTTGTCCACCACTTTTTCCACCTCATATACCTCCTCATCGACACTCTCTTTTTCTGTAGTCGGCTGTCTCCCTTCCACTCCTGCTTTCTTCTTTCCCATTCTCACTCCCTTAGATATGTATTCAGTAATTTTCAGATGCAGAACCTTCACTGATTCTCCAACCATTTAATTCGAGAACTCAACGGCCTTCCCGCGCGCACTAGTTTCATAACACGCCTTCTGATTGGTAGGTTCTCTGAATACTTTAAAGTACAGGTGCTGTCGTTGGTCAATTGTTCCCTACGTCACAAAGGCCGTAGCCACCAAGGCGGCCATTTTGAAATAATTTAATTTGTTGACTCTTACAGTTTCTATTTACAGCATTTTGGCCGTTCAAACCTCAAAGTGGACAAAACAGCGGCACGGCTCGAGCTCATAGGTGAAAAAATAAAATGGCCTGCCTAAACAGTAGGCTGGAAGACTTACCAGACAGAGCTCTTTGTTTGGGTAAATGATAATAGTTTCTAATCTATGGAAATCGATGAACAAACACAGCAAACTCGCGAACGAGCCTTGCACCTTGCAGCCGAAGTAGCTGAGACGGATGACAGTAATGTCCCTGTTTTACTGTTGCAATTAAAAGGTACACTCTAGATATTTTCCGTCTACATTCCTTTAAGAGAAACTATACCTGGAAGTTGACACAAAGGAAGCCAATCAATAGTTCGAAAAATGTGATAATTCGAAATGCAACCCATCAAACCAGACTGTGAACAAGGCGGAAATTTTAAATCTGAACTGAAAACTTAAGAGCTGAACATTTTCTGTAAATTAAAGAAACATTAATTAATGACTAGTTGTAGTTACCCATCGTGTAATTGTTCACAGAGAATTCTCAGTGAACAAGGTGAATATTTGAAAACTGACCTGACCTCCCAAGAGCTGGAGAAAATTAGCTGTCTCTTTGTGAAACATAAACAGCCAACATTATCTTTTACCATTGTGAATACTCTGATTAGCCTCAGAGAGGCTTATTAAGTTCAAAGGCTTCCAGACTTTACCTTTACTTATCATCCTTGACTTGGCAGACATCCTTGACTTGGCACCTCCAAGAAGCAGCCTTGGAGAACTTCTCAGGAAAGATCTGTGGACATATGATGTTATTCATGTTTGCAACCTAGGTACACATACTTTAACTGCATTAAAATCGACCAAAATCAGACTAAGATGTCAGTGTCCAGATTGAGATCACTTACATGTGTAGCAAGAGCTGCCTTTCTAACACTTCTGTTTTTTTTACTAATAAGAATATTATATTATATTATAGTATTGAAAAAGACATCACCTTTATTAAAAAAGCTAGTAAGTTTGATGCTCTCCAGTCAAGTTTTATTTTAAGCACGGTATCATCTTTAGACAGGTAAAAACCAACGATATAATATCCTGACGTTTCGGTGACTTCATGACACCATTATCAAGGGTACAAATGAAAATAAAATTAACAAATGCAAACGGATTCTATTCGTGCTAAAGTATTTGTGTAGCTACCTCCCCTATGCAAATTAGTTGTAACTCTTTAACTCGCATTTGTTAATTTTATTTTCATTTGTACCCTTGATAATGGCGTCATGAAGTCGCCGAAACGTCGGGATGTTATATCGTTGGTTTTTACCTGTCTATGTATCACTAAATCTTTGGTATCATCTTTAATTCTATTTTTCAAGCTTTGAAGCAAGACTTTGCCTCAATCGTGGGAGGATGGGACACTGCAACCCAGTTGGGAGCCATTTTATGTCAGAGCTGTGTGGGTCTCAACTTTCCAGAGATGGCAGAGTATGAGGACAAATTTCTCCCTGATGTTGTAGAGAATATGTTGTCTTTGGCTGCAAAGTTGCTTGACTTTATTGTCAAAGCTAGAGTGGTAAGATGTTCCAGTTGGGCAGATCGGTCATGTTTTTGCCTAATTTAAGTTTGATTTTTCAGAGTGGTTGAGTGTTAGTACTGGGGAAGTAGAATAAGGTGGCATGAGAATGCACAACATTATGGCTTTTTGTATAAATGAAAAATAGCGTATCATAATGGAGGCAGAAATTTCCATGCCATGGCTATGTTCCCCAGAAGCACCAGTAGCCACTGTTTTCAATGACCACTTGTTTAATGGGAGACACAGTGGTCCAATGATTAGTTCAGTGGGCTAAGTGTTGAGAGATCTAGTTTAAGACCAGGCTGGATCATTGTGTCGCTTTCTAGGGCAAAACTCTTTACTCTCACAGTGCCCCTCTACTAGTGAATTGTCAGGGAAGCCTGACGAAACACTGGGGGGTAACCTAGCAGTGGACTGGCTCCCCATCCAGGGGATAGTAGTGATGCTCCTACATGTAGCTGCTTCGTGCTAAGAAAAGCAGAAGATGCCCTCTCTGTCTACGTGGGCTTCTTGGCTTAAGAACAGACTTACCTTTCTTTTTATTTCTGAAGTGCCACCCACTTTGATAACTAAAGACAAAATAATATTGCTGCATTGTGGTTAGTATAAAATGTCTGGACAAGCTCTAGCAGAAGAGGCCCACAAGATCCTTTTGAGATATGCTTTAAACAGACTGGGTGAAAATACTGGAGTAAAATTTTGATTGAAATTAAAAAGACTTTAGGAGTTGCTTTCAATGTCTTGATTTTTAACATACATCCCAAGCAATTTTTTAGGTTATCCTTGCATTGAACATTAAAAAATATTTACTTGTGCTCTCTTTTTTCAAATAGATGACTGAGAAACAGAAACTATTTCAAAATTTTAGGACAACACTGAATTCCTTGGAGTGGCTGTACAGTTTTCATGTTTCCCTCACTTTCAATGGTATTAAATGCAGTTTTCCAACTTGCCTTTGCAGAAATCATGTGCATGTATTATTTTACTATACAATTACATGTACTTATCAACACATAAGTGGTACACGTCACTAAAATGGCAGGGTAAATCAGAATTACACAGAATAGTTTTCATTGAGATCCTGCTAATTAAAGTAATAAAGAAAAAAATTTAGGTGAATTGAAAAAGGTGTCCCAAAGCTAAATTTAGTGCAAAACATATCAGTAAATGTAATTATCATGTTTTCTGAACTTTAAAGGATAAATACTTGCTTTAAAAAAAGAGTCTCGAGGATGTAGGTGACCTGTCATTACTCGAGAATTGGTCCAATTATGTACAAGTCTTTACAAAAAAAATTAGATGTTTTGAAACCTGTTTGATATGAATCTAATGGGAATCAATTTCTGTTTCCATCCAGTGCTGCAATCCAAGCGCTTTGTACAGATTCTAATGTCTGAAGAAGTTGATGCATCCCTCTTTATTTTGATGATTGTGGAGAATATTTTTAAAATGAAGAGGTCTGGAAATTACTTTAAGTTGTGACCATTTTTTTTTTTTAACAAAATAGCATTTGTTTATCTTCTGTGCAGGTGCAATATTTAAACCCTTTTAATTCCCATGAGTGACCAAGACGGAATTTCCACTTGAATGAAAATCAAGCAGACATGTGTGATGAGAAGAAAGAGGAATATCAATTGGGGAATTAACCCTTTAATTTCCAAATTAAGTGATTATTATGTGAATTCTCTCTTTAATATTCAGTAATTATCTGGCAAACAGGTAATGAGAATACTCAGAGTTATATGGTTGAAGTTGTTTTCTCAATCTAACTCCATACTCTTGTTGCTAATTTATAAGGAAATGTGTAGTAGAGGGGAGAATTAACAATTTGATCTTGGGAGTTAAAAGGTTAATAGTTGATCCAATATCAGATTCTCAGAACCAACATCATAAGAATTGTATGGCAGACAGTAAGGAGAATTACCAATGAGATCCTGGGAGAGAAAAGGTTGTGTAATGACTTATACAGCAATACTAGACAATTTTAGGTTTATGTAATGTCACTTTTAAATGTTTCATTAGGGTGTTGATGGGAAAACTTGAGCCGAATGTCCTGCACAGCATTTTGGATGAAACTGTTTTCAAGATATCAGCTTCTGAAGAATCTTCAGTTGCAAGGTGAATTGTGAAAACAGAACTGGCATTGTAAAAGATGTGTTTGTTGTATTGATTGTGGTTGCAATGTTGCACCCTGATAGGTCTACTCTTATTACTGACCAAGCCGTACTTGTGCTGTCAGTTGATGCATCAATTTATGGTACACCTGTGGGGCTAAGGTTCAAGACATTTGCCAAACACTTTTTCCAGATACATGTTACAATAACAGACACAACTGAATGGAAATTTGCAATGCAGGGATGCCTTCAATGAAAATGAAGCCATGACGAAGATTTCATCCAAATAACACTAACAGATTTGCAAGAATCAAAATTTTGTAACCAAAGATACATGTACATGCATTCAAATGGACAATAGTCAGTCAGTAGTAAAGTAGATCCACTTCTTGCCTTCTTAAACTCAAAGTATTTGGCAACACTTATTTGCATAGGGCATCAATTCGCCTCATTTTGACAGCAACAGATGTTCACCCACCAATCCTTGAAGTTTTGCTCTCGAAAAGATACAGGTGAGTTTGAAATCACTCATCAGCTTGTGATAAAGCACGTAACCTTTTACCCGTAGGAGTAACCGACATCTAATTTCTCCGTACAATATCACCCTTAACTCACATATAAAGGTCATGAGAATGAAGCAAATGATCGCCAATTTAAGAAGGCCCCTTGCCTCCCATTAGCCCATTCCAATGACTGATACGATTCATAAAACTAAAGCGCTTCAAACCCTCCCGGTCTCGCTATACAAAGGTTTTACAAATTTAGAACCAAATGAGCAAGGTAGTAGTTTTCACTATTGTTTATCTGATTGAGTGTAAAGTAGTAAACGTTTTATTATTCTAAAGAGGTGTTAAGTTACAATCTTCTTTTTAGGGGTTTGAAGGCGTATCTCAGCAAGTGGAAGGCGAGAGGGTTTGACCATGATGTGAAGAGACTTGTGTCTTTATTAGAGGCTGGTTCGATTGCTCAGGCTGAGCAAATGGTACGCAAGTTGAAATATGAGAATTACGATTATTCTTAAAGCTACTGTTGTTGTTGTTGTTGTTGTTTTGAGGCCGGTTACGTTTTATCAAGGGATCTCCTCGTCATGTCCCGGGCTTGTTTCTACTAAATTTAAGAGAGCATTGCTGTGGAGTGCCTTGTGTTTCAGATTTATCAGCCGTTTTGCGATTTCATACCGGCGAGAGTTTATTGGATGTATAGTTTGTTCCATCGGTCCACAGGCCTTGTAAAAATCAAATACATGCGGGTTTTTGAGGGAACTTTAGAATGACATAACTTTTGAAGATTCCCGTCGAGTAACAGTTTCCATGTGATTTCCTATCTCAGAGACTCTCTCGCGCCGCCACGGCTATCCAAGCATTTTACCGCGGTTCCAAACAGCGTCAGCGCCTCAAACAAGCCGAGTTGGGAATCATCTTACTTCAGCGAAAATTCAGACAGCGCCGTTTGGACAAGGAGCGATAAAAAGAGAAGGGAAAGCGGCGCCAAGAACGCAAATTGGCTCAGGAGCAGAAAAGAATCAATGAGTTCAGATCTTCGATGCAAAAACAGTTAAAGATGTTGGAAAGCGTACCTGCCAGAGAAGTGAACTTGTTTATGGAAGAAAATCAAGTGAAGGCAGCTAGTAAAATACAAGCGGCGTTTCGTGGGATGTTGGCGCGGAAGAAATATAGTGAACGGAGCGAGGAAGTTACGCGAGAGAGAGCAGCGGTTACCATCCAGCGACAGGTGAGCGTGGAAATTTTTATCTTCGGAAACCTTTTCAATCCCTTCACTCCGAAAATGGGAGGGATGGTGAGATTTGGAGGGGGACATACGAAAAGGATAGGTTCAAAAAAGGTAAAGAAATAAATAATGAAAGGGGTGGGGGGAAGTCGGGCTACGTAACTAGAAAGAAAGTCCTGCGAAAATCTCAAACTGACTTTCATCCTATTGAAATTAGATCAGATGTCTGGAGAACAACCGTCTCTGCTTTTAAAAATATTCACTTCGTCAGAACAATTCCTCAATATGAAGGTATAGCGAATTGCCAAGCTGGGGGAGACTCGTAGAATTTCCTATTTAACTCCCTCCAAATCCCATCAGCCTTCCACTCCGCCTCCACCCCCTCCCTC